AATTCACTTGCACCTGACCTCCTCTGTCCACGATTTCATTCTTTGTTACCATGGAACACGATCTGGGCCTTCTAGTAACAACAGCACAGGTACCTTCTTGTCTTTCCCAGCTGTGGTCCAGCTGTCAGAACCCAGCATGCTTGCAATTTTTAGACAGCCAGCTTCTTTTTTCCCCCTGCTACCTTTCAGGCTCCCTCCTTCCAGGGATTTCTCCTCTCTCCCTCCTGCCTCATTGGCAGTGCTGGGGATTCCAGCCAGGGGCTCCTCAACCCCTCCCCATGAATGTGGTGGAGGCCTCACCACCCCTCTAGGCTCCACTCACCTGTGACCCTAGCTGCATCTTGCAGCAGTAGTCCAGTGTGAGATCTTTCCCTTCTCCAGTTTCCCAAAGAAATGCAGATTGTCCTGCTGGATGTTATAACTGGAATGTGCAGGGGCGCTGGGTAAATGGGTGGGTTTGGCCCTTCTGTGGTTCAGGACTCAGAGCCTACTCTTGGATCTCTGACTCTGTCCTGGGGAAGGCCCCTATGTTTCCCTTCCACCCAATGCCTGCTTCCTGCTGCCTCCCTCACTGTCTCCAACGCCCCATGAACCTAACCACAGCCTCCTAGGAGGCTTCGGAAATAACCTGGCACCAACAGCGTGTCAAGGTCCCCATCATGTTTTCATAGTTGTCTCCATCCTCCAACGATCACTGAGTCCCAGAGCGCTGAGCTGAGCTAAAATCACAGTGGTTTTTTCAAAGGGATCCAGGGGCCTCTACAAGGAAGCTGTGGCCGAGTCCTCTCTCTGCTCCTTTCTCTTCAGTTCACTGTCTGCATTCAAGGTCAGCCTCTGACCAGAGCAGAATCTTCCAAAAGGCAGGGATGCCAGTGCCCTTCACCACCACTCCCAGGCCCTCATGGGCACTTCCACGCTGGGAGTGCACCAGTCTCCTCTTCAATAAGAAATGAGGCCTCATGATTCAGCCCTTTTTAAAAGCTTTTATTTCTGCCTTGGTGCTCATGCTTGAAAATTCGGAAAACACAGAAAAGAACAAGGAAAATGTTATCCACCCAAACACTAAAATGGTGTATTTCTTCACAGGTTTTGCTTTATGTGTGTAAAATCTGGAAGCCTATGTTTCTTGCTTAATATAATATCATAAATGTTTTCCTTCTGTTTGTCTCCTGAAAGAGGGTTGCAGTGCCAGCAGGCTCAACCATCTCCCTGGTGTCAGACCCAATCACACGCCTCGCCTCAGCTCAAAAGCTTATCTATTGATCAGCTACTGTACATCAGAGACTGCATTGGGCCCTGTAAATGTTTAAAGGGAGAGTTTCAATGCAAGGGAATCTTTCCAAGACAGAAAAGCAGGAGCTCATAAGGAAAGCCATAAATACTGCCATCGAAATTCCATATGTGAGCTGGGTGTGGTGGTACATGCCAGTAACCCTAACATTCTGGGAGGCTGAGGCAGGAGTGCAGCTTAGCAACTTAGTCAGATCCTGGAAAGAAGGAAAGAAAGAAGGAAAGAAAGAAAGAAAGAAAGAAAGAAAGAAAGAAAGAAAGAAAGAAAGAAGAAAGAAAGAAGAAAGAAAGAAAGAAAGAGAGAGAGAGAGAGAGAGAAAGAAAGAAAGAAAGAAAGAAAGAAAGAAAGAAAGAAAAAAAAAAAGAAAGAAAGAAAGAAAGAAAGAAAGAAAGAAAGAAAGAAAGAAAGAAAGAAAAAGAAAGAAAGAAAGAAAGAAAGGGGAAGACGAGAAAGGGGAGAGAGGGAGGCTGGGTATGTAGCTCAGTATTCAGGCTTTAGGTTCAATTAAAAAAAATCCATCGCACAAAGTGAGCCTGAGAGTGAGGGTAGCCAAACAGCAAAGTCAGCGTTCAGACCTGGTGTCTCTTACCCAGGCAATGCCAGATGCACAGACTTTATACAATGGAAAACGTCAAGGCTTTGCCATAATTTCAAAGAAAAGCCAAAAGTAGTTCAACAAGGGTAGTTTTTGAGTGAAATCCAGTCCCTAAGGAGTCTTCCTGTTAAAGACGTCCGTGGTTTAAAAGTGAGGATTGTCCTTTTTTTTCCCAGCTGATGGGGTGGACTCCGCGGAAGTTCGTAGCGCAGCCTGGAGGTTCCCACTGGGTGGCGCCCTCACGCCGACCCCTCTGTTGAGTCATCCCAAGGAGGCTGGGCACCATAGGAAGAGGGAGAGGCTGAGTGGTGGCCAAGGGCCGTGGAAAGTAGGGACACCTGAGAGCTTGAGACAGAGCTGTCCCAACAGCAGAGCAGAGTTTCTGTGTTCTGAGAGGCTTCTCCTGTACCTGGCCTCCAGCCCCAACTAAGAAGGTGTCCTTTCCTCAGGTCACTCTCATGCACTTGTGGCTATCAGCCAGCCTGTTGCCTTTGACTTAAGGGACACAGTTTGCTGCCCTTTGATCTTGAGAGGAGGCGTGTGATTGGGTCTGCCACCAGGGAGACGGTTGAGCCTGCTGGCACTGCAGCCGTCTTTCAGGAAGCTCCTCCTGAAAGATGCACTCTTCCAGATCTCTCTGGCAGTCATTGCAGGCACACACTCACCCATGTGGCTGGTGTTTGCAGAGCACCACATAGCCACAAAGTGGAGACAGGAGGTCCTGGTGAGGAATGGGCCAGGATTAAGGGGGAACCCAGGTCCCAAACATATATTAGCAACAAAGACCAGCATCTCCCAAGGGGCCTTCTCATACTCACCCACCAGTCCGAAGTTGCTTCCTACATCCACTGTATTGTTCACTTACACGGACTACATTCTCAGTGACCCGGAGAGAGAACTGCACAGCCACCCCAGATCCTGGCTTCCCTGCTGTCTTGGGGTAAATGGAATCAAGGGTGGAGACAGAGCTCTCTGATCAATCCATGGATAGACTTAGCAGGGCATCGCTTCGGCCTGCACAGGGAGCAGGCGAGGAGGGGTTGGCAGGACTAGCATATGCAGAGAGCAGGAATCAAAGCTCTGGGAAGCAGTGTTGCAGGCAAGCTCTCCCCGCACCCCACTTCCAATCCTAGTGCTACTTTTCTCCCAACTATACAAACACAAACACAGGTCCTTGGGGATTTGCATAACAATCTTTATTGTTCATAATGAGCCAGCTCTAGACTTGCAAGTATGTGTAGTGGGAAGGCAACTTGGATGCTTTCATATGCTCTGAGAATGTCTGGAAGAGGCAGAGGATACTGAGCCAGAATAGGAGATAGTGAATGAGAGATGGAGTGAGAGCTTCCGTGGCAGTGACTGTGGCTTTTTAGTGCCAGGGTACAGACTGTAGGGTAGGCTGTTGACAGCCTTCTGCTGATGGGGTTTTTGACTGACTGATTGATATTTCAGTATTGGGAAATGAACCCAGGGCCTTCACACTGAGCTATATCCCCAGCCCTTTTTTACTTTTTACTTTGAGACAGAGGTTCACTAAGTCACTAAGTTGTCCAAGCTGGACTTGAACTTGCCATCCTCCTGCCTCAGGTCCCAGAGCGCTGGGATTACAGGCATGCACCGCCACACCTACCCCTTGTCCCCAGTGAATGCTGGATCCACCACCCTGGGACTATTCTCTCTAGAAACGTGCTTACGTGAGCAAATCCAATGTTCTTGCTAGGCTTAAATGTTGGTGATTGAGCTCCTGGCAGGTAATGCTGACTGGTGCTACCCTTACCTGTGCATCAGAGGGAAGCAATTGAGCTTTGCCCAGAACACTCGACATGGGAAGGGCTATGCCTGGCCTTGTTCTCCACTATCTGACCACAGAGCCCAACTCTTCATGCTCTCCCAGTAATTCTCTAAGTTCATGAGTCTCCTGGTTAGAATGCAGATTCCTTTTACTTGACTCTCACAGGTTCTACCCAGGAACTCAGGGCTGGGGTCCAGGAATCTCCATGCAAAGCCCCATGTGGACTTAGTTGTTGTCCTGGGCCATCTCCCCACCCATCATTCTCATTTCTTCTGTTTGTTTGGTTTGGTTTGGTTTTTTTTTTGGTACCGGGAATCAAACTCACAAACTTGCACTTGCCAGGCAGGAGCTTGTACCGCTGAGCTATATCCCTGGGCCCTTCTTCTGAAAGTGCACTCTTTCCCCAGCACTTCAGGACCCAGACAGCATTCACATCTCAGTCAGACTCTAGGTGCGGGACCTTGCGCCAGTTTCCTAGCTTTTCTACAGCTCAGTTGTCTCATCTATGAGATGGTCCTATCTCTGGGCATGGTTGTGAAGATGCAGTAAGATAAGGCTTACAAAGTACTTCCCACAGCATCTTGGACAGTCTTTAATAAAGATACAAAATATATAATATGACCAAATTACATAATAAATGTTTAAATTGGAAGTTAAAATTTTTATTACAGTAAAAGACACATTGCCATTAATCCCCTGAAATACTGCCCCTCGGTTGAAACACTTATCCCACCATGATGGCCACTTTCTGAAACAGTTCTAATAGTCCTCTTTCTTGAGTGTCTTTAGTTGTGCTGTCCTGGCTGCCTCAGTGTCCTGAAACCACTGAAAATGTTGACCACTCACAGTCCTTTTGATTTTAAGGAGAAGCCAAAAGCCACACAGTGCTATACTGAGGGAATAAGATAGATAAGGACACACTGCCATGTTTTTATTTGGCATAAATTGCTGCAGATGTTTTGAATCCATTCAAGACATAGAGGCAGTCACAACTGCACAATGAAAGACACTCACGAAAGAGTACAGTACTTCCAGAACTGCTCCAGAAAGTGACCAGAATGGTGGGATATGTGTGTTTGAAGTGACAGGGAGTACACTTTGAGGGAGATTCACAGCAGTGTGTCTTGTACTGCAATAAATTTTAAAATCTAAACATTGTGGTTCTTGATCCATGTATTAACATAAAATAACCTTCTTGTGAATTGCTTTGTCACAAATTTGTGGAATTTATTTCAAACTTAAAAACTGAAAACTTTTCACTTTGGAAAACACATGGGAAAGATGTGGCACAAGTTATGATATTGTCTAACGTTATTTTACAGGAGGTATGGAAATTGACGCAAGAGAAGGCCAGACACATTGTCAAGAAGTCCACAACCATGGTAAGTGACTATCAGGTGGGATGCCCGCCTTTCTTTGGGCACACCTGCCCTGCCCTTCCCTCCCCCTACACTCCAAAGGTCGGGGTCTGCTTGGAATACAAGCCCACCGCTGTTTGCCCTAATTTCATAGTGACTAAAGTAGGAACATGAGCTCCTTTCCACAACATCCTCCTGCCTTCCTCCCTTCAGGAGGGTTTCCACCTTGGCGCTACTGACATTTAGGGCTGGATAATCCCGCTGTAGGGGCTGCGGTGTGCTTTGTGGTGTCCAGCAGCATCTCTGTCCTGTGTATTCAACACCACAATGCCATCCATCCCTCCCCAGCCGTGATTATCAGAAATGTCTCTTGGCACTGCCTAATAGACTCTGAAGGGTGAAGTAACCGCTGGTGAGAACATTCCTCTCCCCGAGAGCATTCTGGAGGAGCTGTGCCCTCCTGCCCCTCCACTTCCTACAAATGTGACCTCGGACTTGGTGCTCACATTGCTAAGCCTGATTGGGAGCTGGGGGAATGTTAATAGAGTTCCTGCATGCAGAGCACCTGCTTCGGGCCTCAGGCTTACCAAGTACTGGATAAACTTAATGTCATCACTATTCATCTCTCCTAATATGTCCTCCTTGCAATGACATTTTTAGTCAAATAAGTCATCACAGAGTAACTTGGTGGAAAAAAGTCAGCCCCAGCTAAAAAGGAAGCAGAAAAGCAGACCTCTAAAGCCCAGTGTCATCCTCGGCACTGGAGACCCTGGCAGGAAGGGCACATTCATCCCCAGTGAGAGGGCACCGACCTCATCCTCAGCCTCCCTGCAGGCCTCCCTCCTCGCTCACTCTGCTGCAAGACATTGAAGGTGTTATTGACTTGGTCACATGAAAATAAAAGGAAGGAAAATCACTTAGTCACGGCTTACTGGATTAAGCAAATAAAAACACAGGATGTCCAGTTAAATTTAAACTGTAGAGAACCAATGAGTTTTTTCTTTTAGTGTAAGCATGCCCAGTACAATACTTTTATCTGAGATCCTATGCGGGAGTGATAGGGGTTTTGATGCACAAGGTTGATCCGTGTTAAATAGCAACATGCAGGCATTTCTACATAATTGATTAATCAATCACAATGTCTGCTTCACAGATCATTATTTAATTCAGTGAATAATTACAAGCTGGCAGTAGCCAGTTCAGCTAATCTGCTTATATTGTTGGATAAGAAATTGAAATGCCACTGGAAACCCGTCACTGCTGCCTTCACAACTCCAAGCAGAAATGGAGAAAAACAGAATGTGTCCTTTATCTTTTTCAGTGTGGCTCTTGGAACTTATTTTCAGGCCATTGTTTATTTAAGTAGCACAAACTTCCTTGGCATTAACTCAAAAGCTAATTAGGATTTTGCATTTTTAAAATTTCTGTCACCAGAATTGTAAGCATAATTCGAGAGGCAGGATTCTAATAATTACTAGGGAGAAGCCAAAAGAAATTCTACTGAACAATTCAACAATTTTTTAAAAACTGCCCAATTTATTTACTCTCAGGGTTAGAACTATCCAGGAAAAAATTAATCAGAAAATGCAAACAAGCATCTGTGGAGAACTTCTCAGAGAATATCAACTGCAGTTAATCCCCCATGGTGGGACTAAGGACGTAAGCAGGAAAGCAACACGTAGTAACTTCCAGCATAGCGTGTCAGGCTGTGAACATCCAGGCCAGGGAAGAGTCATGTTTTTCAGAAGGGGAGAAAATGCTCCAGAAATTTTCTGGATCTCCTGGGAGCTTTGCATGGATTCAGGGAGCACCAAGTCTGCAGGTTACAGGGTACCTGAGTTACAGAATCAACCTTATTTAATTTTCACCACTACAAAGTATACAGAGAATTTTTGCTGCACAGATGAGAGGACCGAAGCTTAATAATTTGCTCACTCCACATACCTGGTAAGTCAGAAAACCATCACTGAAGTCCAGAGCGAGCTATTTCCAATTCAGTACCCTTTCTTCAATGCCTATCACTCCCCAGCCAAGCTTCCTAGTGCTGAACTCAAGGGCACTGTTTATATCCCAGGCTACACAGATAAAAGAGTGAGTCAGGAAGACCTGTGCAGCTGAACACCAGGGCCCTGGTCACAACTCTACCTGCTTAGTGGAGTTATCTGGGAAGACTTTAAAAATTGCTGATGTCCAAACCCCAGCGCAGACCAATTAAAACCAGGCAGTACAATACAGCGAAAGGGCTTAAAAGCACTTCACCATGCAGAAATTCAATTTCAGTTTAGCTGCGTGCAGAAAGGTGCTTACTCTCTCTCTTTGACCTTCTCTTTGTGCCACTCACCACAGTTTTCTCTATTCCTGATGTGTTCGTTGTTCTGCATTCATTTAACACCATGGTACGGGGGCGCAGCTCAGGAGGCAAGCGGATTCTGGTTGAATAGATTGCAAACTGAAGATGCTGCTTGACTCCTGTCTCCAGGGACATCCCAGATTTGAGACTCTCCCTTTACATGGGACTAGATGCAGCCACATCCAATATTTTAAATCTATTCCTGAATTAACAACAGACTGTTGTCTCTGTCCCTGTCTAGCAAAGTTCAAATTGAAAGGCAGGGACTGAAATACGTGCAATCAAGGACGTTTGCAATGCTGTACTGGGTCCATCTTTGTTTTCTTCTCAAGCAAATTGTCTCAAGGTGGGAGAAGGCCTGGGGGTGGGGAGAATTGTACCTCCCATTGTCTGTGATGAAAAGACCAGATAATCAAAACCTCTGTCTAAACAGCAGGCTTTCTGGGGCATCTGTGGACAAGCTACATCATCCATCACCTAATCCCTAGCCCTGATTTCTGCACAATGAGTATCAGAGACAGCTGCAGCCTCAGGATGGATTTTGACAGTGAACAGCTGTGCAATTATACAATTTTATCCTATTGTGCCTCTTGTATAGTAATTATAAGACTTCGTATAAATTTGTGTGTATTGGTGATCATCAGTGTTAAAATCCACATTGTCATTAGGATTAGACTGAGACCTTCGGACTAAAGTGAATATTAAAAGAAGTAGCTCAGACATCCAAATGTGACCTGACTTTGGACTCTGGGTCTCAGAATGTGTCTATACTCCAAACTGCCACCTATGTTTTGCATAATCTCAGTGAGTGTTTGTCTTACTGTGTGACTAGAGACCTGATCTCCATCAGACACCAAGGCTTTCCTCGATTTTCTGAATATCCCTTCTTTTCAGTGCCACCCACCCACCCCACGTGACAGCAGAGGTTCCAACCTGTAGCCATTTCGTTCCTCACCCCCACCCTGGAGTGAGGGCATCTGACAAAGTTTGGAGACAGATTTCATTTTTCAGGGGTTTTTCCTAACAATTTTCTTCATAATAGTCCAAATTGACAATATTCTCAAGCTGTGTTTCACACAATGGAATACTAAACAGCTATGAGAAAAAGAATGAACTTCAGGTGTTTGCAACAACATGGAAATGAAAGAGATACAACATAAAGAATGCCAACTGTATGATTCCATTCACATGAAATTCAGGAACACGAAAAACAAACACCGTCAGGTGCCACATAATGACGTTCCCGACAATAAGAGGCCACAGAGAGGAGGGTGAGCCCGTGAGATCACTGGAGACAGATTTGTGCTGCTGGCATCTAGTGGGAGGGGACATAGCACAGCGCAAGGACAGACCACACACTGACAACTGGATATTCAGCCCCTGTAATACTAGTGCTGTGGCTACAAACCCTGGGATCAGAATCCAGCATCCCTTATCTGTCATGAGCCTCCCTCCCAGGAGCGGGGAGATATCCTTTGAGACATGAATGTGATTCCTCACCTGACACCTTCAAGGCTTCTCCAGCATCCTCAGGGTGACAGGTAGATGCCCCCAGGGGATGGAGGCTGTCATAAAGTCTCCTTTCTTCCCTGGTCCACTGTTCTGTAGCTGACAATGCTCCAGCCAGGCTGAAATGCCCCTGGGTCCTGTAGCACTTTCTCCCTTCTCAGAGTTGAGCGGTATCAGGCTTTGCTGCATTAGTGGCACCTGGGGACCTTGACAGACAAGTGGCATCGCAGCAGATGGCAGAGACCTGAAACTCTGCATCTATAAAGGCTCCCGGGGCACCAGTGCTCCTAGTCTGCTGTCACACATAGAGCAGTAGGTCTCAGACCTCAGCGGGCATTGGAAAGACCCTGAAAGGACAGACTGCCAGGACTACCCCAGGGGTTCTGAGCCAGTGGATCTGGGGGACAGAGGACTGCATCTCTAGAGAGGCTGTGAGCTGTACTGTGAGCTGCGAACCTCAGGGCATCTGTGTCTCCCTTCTCATCTGCCTCCTTGCTTAAGATCTGGGACATCTGCATCCTCTGCCAGGTTCCTGGGGAGCCCTGCTAATGCCTCCAACACAATGGATCCTGTAGAGGGAGCCACAAGATGAGATGTCCACCTAGACCCTGAACTTGGTGGACAGGGACAAGGATTGCTCCTCTGTTCCCATGCCTTGCGTAGAGATTGTGGCTGTAGTCAAAATTTCTCCTCTGCTCCTAGAAACCTGTGCCAGCATCTCTCTCAAAGACTCTCACAAACCTCACTTGTATTCTGAAAAGGTTGCCAGTTCTTCACCAGGGTCAAAATACACGCAGCACCTAGAACTGTCTCATAGCCATTCTTGGACTCTCTGAAATGGTGGGACCTTTGCCGATATTGCTGGTTTTCAACTTTTTCTACCCTGTTGTCTTCTCTTTCTTTTATCTGAAGAGAGCATCATGGACACCGCTGTCTTTCTAAGAACACTGCTTGGTGAAAATCCAAAGGTTTTGATTTAGCATACATCTGGACTCTTCTAGAACAGTGGTGTCTAAACTGAGCATGGTGGTTCACGCCTGGAATCCCATCATTTTGGGAGGCTGAGGCAGGAGGATCACAAGTTTCATCCCAGTCTGGGCAATTTATCAAGACCTTGTCTCATAACAATAAAAAAAAATCTAAAGGGCTAGAGATGCAGCTCAGTGCAAAGACCATGTGTGTTCAATACCCAATGCCCACCCACTCCAAAGAAAACAAAAGCAAAAGAAAAACTAATGTCTAGGCCCTTCTCTTCTGCATACCTCTCTGCTCTCCTGGAAAGAGGTTTTCCTTTTTCCCAAGTTCCTGACCCTGTCATTTTGCTCCATCAGAGCACAAGATTATTTTATTTGAATGTATTATTTTTCATTTTCAACCCCTTTTTCCAAGCACTTGAGTAGAGGAATGCTGTGGTCAGAGAGGAAGCCACCGAGGCGAGGACAGACCATTCTGGGAAGAAGTCCAGTGGGAGGGAGCTGGGAAGGTGGGTCCGGTGGGTGGATGCTGGGAAGGGGACACCTTCAGGCTGAGGAACCAGCAGGAACCACAGCATGGGAGGCTGAGTCAGTGTAGACTTCAGGGAAGAAATGGGAGGTAAATTGAGATAAGTAAAGTAGAGCAATCCTGGAAGGAAAACCCAGAGCTCCAGGCTACAGAAGGACTCTGATAGGAAACCATTTCTCAAACTAAATAGCTGTCTTTTTATTGTCTTTTCTCTCTCTCTCTCTCTCTTTCCAGAAATATCTTCAAAGTGGTTCTGATATTTGCTCACTCCCATTTTTGGCCGAGATCTGTCAGAAAATTAAATTGTACGTACGTATACTCTTCCTACCTTACAAGCGTATGGTGACACCTTTGCTTGTCTCTGTTTTCCTATGCTTAAAATGATTTTCACATCCAAGAAGCTGATGCTGTTTCTGCTCCAAGCAGACGGTGAGTTAGCTCCAGCAAAACCATGTTGGAAATGCACAGGACAGAGAAGAACCTGTGAGCCTCCGAGCATGCTCTGCATCCTGCAGTGTGCCAGTGACCTTTCTCTGCAGTCCTGTCACTCCCTTTATGGCACTGGGGACAGTGCCCCCTTGCCATGAAAGACATAGACCCAGTTGTCCACAGCTTATGACTGGGACTCTGAGCATCTTTGGTGCAAAACAATCAGGAGGTTGGAACAGGATGATTTTCTTCACAAAGCCCAGCGGACTGTTACCTGGCAACTCTGAATCAGACGCATAGAACAGGATTCCGGAGAGAAGGACACTATCCAGAATCCCCACACCCCCTATCTCAGTTTAAATCCTATCTCTAGCTCCACTTTGCATCTAGGGTTAAGCTAGATGTCACAGAACCACTGATCAAAATGTGAAGAGATGGTGATTTGAGAGAACACTGAACAAAGAGGCAAAATAGCATAAGTTCTCCATTCCCCATGTGTCAGTCAGCTTTCCAGGACTGTAACAACTACCTGAAATAATCAAGTTAAGGAAGAAGAAAGGTTTGTTGGGGCTCACGGGCTTGCAGCTTTCAGTCCATGACCAGTTGGCTCTGTTGCTTTAAGCTGACAAAGGCACAGTACATCAGGACAGGAGTGCATAGCACAGGGGGCCTGTTCACCCCAAGGCCAAATATGAAAGGAACAGAGAAAGAAACCAGGGTCCCCAATCCCCTACTGTTGTCATTTAGACCAAACCATCCACCCCAGCCCGATTCTCTTACTCTCCCTCTCCTGTGGGAGCTCCTGTTCCTTTACCCCTTCGGCTCCAGCCTGGCCCTCATGGGAGGCAGAGATCAGACCTCAGAATGTGTAGAGTGAGGGTCATCTGCACATCTGAGAGGCTGAAATAGCTTCCAGTGGTTGCCATAACAAAATGCTGTAAACTGGATGGATTAGAACAACAGAAATTTATGCTATCTCAGTTCTGGAAGCCAAAAGTCTAAAATCAAGGGGCTGAGGGTTTAGCTCAGTGACACAGTAACTGCTTGGCAAGCACGAGGTCATGAGTTCAATTCCCTGTACAGGAAAAGAAACAAACAAACAAAAAAATGCTAAAATCAAGGTGGCCAGCAGAGCCAGGCTCCCTCTAAGACCAAGTGGACTCCTTCCTGTTGTCCTCCTAGCTTCTGATGGTGGCCACCATTGTGCTTCTTGGTTTTAAACCGCATTATGCCAATCTCTGCCTCCTTTTTCCCTACGGCCACTTTCCAAGGTGCCTCTTTTCCTTTGATAAGGTCCCCAGTTCTATTGGATGAGGACCACCCTAAGGGCCTCATCTTCACTTGCTCACATCTGCAAAGACCTTAATTCTAAATAAGGTCACATTCACAGGTGCTGGGGGTTAGAGCTTCAACTGTTCTGTTCACTTTTGCTGAGTCAACCCATACCAGTGCCTTTTCCTATGTCCTACCATCCTTCATCTCGAGCTTCGCGGGAGCTAAGCCCACTGAACCTCTCCCAGCTGCTGTGAAAACATCCCGAGAGAGGAGCAAGCAGCTGTGATTCTGACCCACATTCACAGCCTCTTAGGGATCCAAGAGTTACAAACTTTTCCTGGCTCATCCGCCAGCAAAAACCCTCTGGCCAGCTGTGCTCACTGCTGGCCTGGATCCCAGAAACAGTAGCATTTCCTCTTTTGTGAATGGGGGAGATGCAAAGCCTCAGGGAGCCAAGAGAAGAGAGGGAACTCAGACAGGAAAGATGCTGGCGGCCACTCATTTCATCATGCCTCGCTTCCCTTGGATCAGGAGCCCCGCCCCTCCTCGGTGAACACATCATTGCATTTTCTGTGTTAGACATGGGCCAGCAGGACCCAGCGGTCCCAAAGTGACAACTCTTCAATTGAACCAATTTTGAAAAATTAAATTCAAGAGCATCTGCAGCCAGGGATTTTCTTGGCCCAGTTTAAAAGGGAAATTATTCTTTTATGAAAAAGAAAAGCAAAAACAGTGTGTTTTTCTCCTTTATTCAAAATCATTGTGCCCTGAGTATAGTTTGCACCAGATCACAGTTTGTTCACCGCTTTGTGATTTACAAAACTCACTTAAATACAGCCTCATTTATTCTTCAGAACAACCTCTGGCTCAGTAATAATGATAACTAAAATTTTTTCAGTGCTGTCTATTCCCCAGGAGCTGTTGTAAGCGCAGTCTACTAAGGCAGACTTCATTTTTGTCATCTTCCAAGGGAGGGAAAGTTATTTGCCCAAGGCCAGGGAGCTGGCAATAAACATCACCTTTAAAACCGGCGTCTGACCCTCCCTGGCCTCCTGAAGTCCTAGCCCTACTCTTCAGATGAGAGAGAAGGTTATAAAAGCCTCACCCACTCTGGTGCGTTCATTTGCTTTGAGATTCTCAGCACTGCAAGAGGCCCTGGATTCAAAACAACATGTAGTAAATCCTAGACAAGGCCAAAATTCTGCCTCCAAATTTCAGGTTCCAGGAACAGCCTTGCCCTGTAGGAAATTGTCCTATCTGGGAAACCATTTGCCGTTTAGAAGCTGGAAACAGTCTGGGAGTGGTGGCACGGGGGAAATACTTTCTCATGGAGTGCGATGATTGGGTTGGTTATTGCATAAAGATGCCTTGATACCCAGGCTCATACTTGGGTATCGAAGTTGCCAGCTAATGACAACTAAATACCTCCAGATTCCCAGAATGAGTGGCTGGAGATAGTGAATAGAATATGTAAAAGGACATGCATTCAATTTGTAATGCCAAGTTCATTGACTGCACTCCAAACAGTCTCCTATTTCCTGGCGACCCTCACAACGTTCCACACCCTCTACAACCTCAGTTATTTCACCAGCACCCCCACGTGGGCCACGTTAAATGGCAAAGAGAAAACACTTCCGCGAAGTGGAGAGCAGAGACCGGCCAAGTGCAGCTGGCACTCGCACACCACGCAGACCCTCAGATTTATTTTTAGATGAGGTCTCTGTCGCACAAATTCGAAGCAGCCATCTCTGAACATGTGTCTGTTTGCTTTTACAAACATCATTTCTTTTTTCCTGAGCCCACCAACGTGTTTTCTTTTCTCTCTTCTAGATCTATACAAACTTCTATGCCCTTCAAAGATGTCGACTCAGACAAATACAGTGTTTTCCCAGTAAGTATGGTTCCAAACTCCTAGATGTTCACAGGACGTTATGTCACTCCCTACAAATTTTCTTCCTTGAATAAGACGAGACAGTTCCATTTGGATGCATTACTAGATTGGTGAAAAATACATCATTTCACAATATTCAGTGACTTTCTAGCTTCATAACAATACGTACACCAAATTTTAAGCCCAGATTTTGCTGACTTTTTGTGTTTCCATTCTAGCTGGAATTCTCCATAGGTACTGCTAGCATGTTGAAAGTTTTTGTGACTTATTTTGGAAATTCTTAACACTACTTTACTTTATTTTTTAAAGTATGCATATGTGTGTGTTTGGTTTGGAACTGATAGGGTGTCTGGGTCTTTTCTAGGAGCGCAAACAAGCAGGTAGTGTGTGACAAACTTCCAAAACTGTGGGATCCCAGATTGATTTAGGAATGGAGGAAATGAAAACATTGTTTGATGTAATTGTAATTTGATACTTTACTCTTTTAAATCAGTCAGATCAAACATATAAATCTGCATAATTATCAGTTGAGCTAGATTATTTTTTAATTGCCCCATAAAGCAATTAACCATTTGGCCAAAATTAAGTGAATTGCTTTAGACCCTGAGGAGATGGGTGGTTAACAGAAGAATTTTAGGAAATTGAATGGACCTGCTATGTCTGGAGGTGTATGTAAATACACATGCATGAACACATGTGCACATAAAGATAGACATACATGAACATTTACACATATACCAACTGCAATGTGCATACCTGTATAAGACATGCGCACTATACTCACATACATGCACACGTGTGTACACGCACGTGCACACATGCACCCCAACGCACCCACACACAGGCCCACACTCACTGTCACACACAAACACACACACACAGGCCCACACTCCCCACTTGCTATTGGTCCTGATGTGATATCACATTTCACCTCACACAGCACATCTTATAATAATCCTCACTTTGCTGGTGGTCACCAGTGTTCCTTGGCTGTATTTGAATTAAAGACATGAAAGGTCAACACCCTAATCACCCAAGGCTAATTCACACACCGTGTATGCACTTCAATTTCAGACGCTGCGGGGCTACCACTGGCGAGGAAGAGACTGTAACGACAGCGACAAGAACGTGTACCCAGGCAGAAGGTAATTGTGTCAGGCTTTGAGAACGACCTCCTGCAAAGGAGGCAGGAGGCTTCACTCTGTAGGTGTGGGCAATTCCCACTTAGAGAAGGAAACTCTGTGCCTCAATAGCTCAGTGAAAAAGTACAGAATTCATTCTTTCATTCATTGCCAAGAGATGCTTATTAAGCACCTAATATTTACCAATCACTTTGCATTGGCTTAGTTGTAAAAGAAATAGAAATAGGCCTCTTCCCAAGGGCGTCCAGGAGCAGAAAGTGTGTCACACTTTAGTCCTGGGTTGATGCTCAGTTATTTACATCAAAAAATGAAGGTGCCGCCCTTCACTCATGCTCTGATGGCAGTGCTGAAACATGAAATCCACCAGATGTGTGGCATTTTAGAGGCACAGTTTGAACAATCCCCCCAACTTTCCAAATAAAACAGACAGCAGATGTGTTCACCAAGCACCCCGCCCCACCTACGCAGTCCCTGAGAAGAGCCCATCAGGGAAAGACTGGGTTGGGTCCAAGCTTCCTCGCAAATACTCCACACTGAGCTAAAGGCAAAGGGCTCAGCAGAAGCTTCCGTGTGCAGCGCACACAGAGGTGTGAGGTGCACTGGCTGAAAGAAAGCTGCTGCCTCTCAATGGCAAGCTGTGTAGCTCTCATCCATCCATCTCTCAACATTCACTGAGTTGAGTTCATGCCAGAGACCAATGCTGATGTTTCCTTCTCAGGCCAGACAACTGGGATGTCCATCGGGACTCCAACTGCAATGGCATCTGGGTAAGCAACTAACTTGGAGGTTGACACCCCTTGTCTTACTTTCTGCTCTCCCCGAAGGCCCATTGCTTGTGCACTGGTCCCGTGTAAGGAAAGGGGTGACAGACATCCTGCAGTCACTCTTGCTGCTGCTTGGAAGAGGGTACGGAATCCTCACCACGTGCGAAGAACATGGATGATGGAACACGAGCTGAGGCTCTGGCACAGCCCCTTCAGCCTTGCTGGTGGTCACCCAGGTCCAATCCCTTCATTCTGTCCCAACAGTGTGAAACAAAGTGATGTAGTGTAAGAAAAGCTCACAGCCACTCACCGCACTGTCAGCACAGGCCACAGCACGGCCACTGTGGCCACATAGCCGTTCTTCTCTGGTCCATAAGCCTCGTCAGCAGCGTGGGCTTTCCGGTGCTCACTCCACCACCCACACCTCACAGCGTCTGACGTTGATGTCCCAGACCCCAGCAGTAGCAGATTCACAGCTTCCAGAAAAAGGGAAGGAAGCCAGAAAGCCAGCCAGGTGCTCCCCTGGAAGAACCATGCTTTGCAGGGTCGTAGGTTTACATGCTTTGCATGAACACAAGCCAGGCGGCAGGATCTCAAGTTTAAGCCCAGCCTGGGCAACATAATGACTTAGTGAGACCCTGCCCCAAAGTACAAAATAAAAAAGGGCTGAGATGTAAGGTCAGTGCAGAGGTTCAATCCCCATCCCACAGAGAGAGAGAGAGAGAGAGAGAGAGAGAGAAAGAATCAACTTACAAATAAAATACAAGGTCATGAATGAAAGTAAATAATTACTTAGAACACTAAATAAATTCCTAACATCATACTAAAGTCTCATACATTTAGGTCCCTTTTTTTGAGATCTTTTATGAGACTAACCAGAAGTGCTTACATGGAAACAGATCTCAATTGCAGCCTGGTCTCTCCCTCTCCACCTAGAACATGCTATAGCTCCCAGCCACTCTCAGCACTCATAAAGGCAGGATCTATGTAACCAAAAGGGCTTGAAGTTTAATATTCTCTAACCTCAAGATAAACATTCACCTACTTTATCTGCTTGGATTAAGGGCAGAAAGTTCCTATAAATATCAGCCTCTTGGCCGAGGATATAGCTCAACAGCATAGCACCTGCCTGGCAAGAAAAAGGTCCTGAGTTTGATTCCTGGTACAAAAAAAAAGTCACCTTCTCTCCAGGACCCTTATAATCCAGGTTTATACCAGCAGTTACCTACTGTGTTTATTGGAGTCTGGTAGCTTCTGGTACATGAGAAGGGTGACAGAAGACTGTACTCAGACACACTACCCTTCATGGAGGAGAAAACCCCTCCCCTAGAGCTTTAAGGCCCCAAGATCCCCAAGGCAGCTTTTGTTCTGATTACCCCAAGTTTACTGTTCCATTGGATGACAAGGGGTGCTGATCCATGTGCAGGGCTGTCACCTTTGTCCCATGATCTCATGTGCCTCCCATGTAAGGAACAGGCCTTCCAAACACCCGAGGAAGCCCAACCAACCAGAGGAGGGCAAAACCAAAGTGTCCCATCAGTAATGGGAGAAACACACCCCACTGCCATGTCTATGCCTTCCCCAGAGGAGAAGTGGCCCCCAAAAGTCCAAAATCAGGAACAAGGAAGGGACGTTACCACCATTAAGGTCAGTGTTGCCCAAATTGTACCCACAGAGCTCAGGAGAGTGATTGCAGTGCTTCCGGTCAGTCTCTGACCATCAAGCACTCTTGTCTTGGGACATTTGTCCCTTCTAAGGGACAGCCGTTCCACTACAGGCCAGCTCTAACTTTAAAAGGCTTCAGTCATGTAACTCAGTCTCACTTATAGGCCCAACTTCCCTTCTAGGTCTCTTAACCTTGGCACTATTGCCACTGGGATCGGATCCTTCTTCGTTGTTGGGGTTATCTTGTAAACGGTAGCATGTTCAGCGTCCTCTTTCACCTCTGCCCACTAGATGCCAGAGGCATTCCTACTCTGTAGGGACAACCAAAAATGCCTCTAGACATGACCAGTGTCCCTGGGTTGGTTGTGGGGTGGAAGAGTGATGGGAAAAATCACCCCTAGTTGAGATTTGTTTCTCTAAAAACATGAGTCATCAGAGCCTAGAGGCCTGATGTTCAGCTCAGAGACTGCAGAACCCCCTTCACCTGTGTCCCAGGCCCTCAACAGGCCCTCGGTGATCTGAGGCAGGGACTGCTGCTAAGGCCTCTCTCTGGAGTTGCCTTCCACCCTTGTGAAGAGGAGGCAAGGTCTCTCCCTATTCCTGCCCTTGGTCCCTCTTAAACCCAGCTCCTGCACACAGACAGTATAGATCTGTGTTGGATTAGGGAGTCTAGAAACTTTTGAGGGTTTTATCTATTGATTTATCTTTGCACTTTTAAAGCCAGCCAGAAAGGATTTAGTGTATGTGTCTTCTAACTTTAAAAACATAGACAACTAATCTCATCATTCGTCTTTTAAAGGGCGTTGATCCTGAAGATGGAATTCCCTACGAGAAGAAGTTCTGCGAAGGTAAGAACTACGGACGTCTGTGCTTGTTACAACAGAACGGTCCTCTCTGACTGGGTCAAATGGAAATGAACAGACCTTCCAAGAGGAAGTCCTTGAGCTTCCCATTAAGGTGACTAATTTACATTTGTGTTCAGGACAGAGAATGATATAAGAAAGGTACAGAAAAGGAGACAGAATCTAGCAAACGCCAAACTTCATTTGCTTAATGGGCTCTTTTTTCTTGGAAACACTAATGATAATGTTAGAAAGGGCTGCAAGATGGATAAAGATAACTGAAATCTGGGACTTTTCAAATTAAAAAACAAGGAGAGGTGAGACTGGAAATCTGTTACATTTGCATGTTCTTGTCACTATCGTGTAAGATCAGGCACCTGAGTTTGATGAAAGGGGTCCCCTTGTCCACTGGTCTAGAGATGTAGGTTTGAGGGACTCAAGGGAAACAACAAGCTCTGGCCTGCAGAGCTTCCCAAAGGTGACTGCTGAGCAACAGCTCTGTACCCTGAATGCCCCTGTGCCTCAGACATCTTAGCCACCCATACGGTCTAGAGAAACCTCAGCATCCCTGTGTCCCTATAAACTCACCCCAAGGAGGCTTAAAACAGACCCAGTGTAACATTGCTGCCCTGTTAGGCAATGATTTTCCCCACTCACAGAAACACTTCCTCCCTTCCTTTATCCCTCCTTCTTCACACCAGGGTACTATCCGACAGCTATTCTGATTGCCTACCGAGGCCTCTACTTGGTTTGCTTTTTGAAGGAAAAAGAAAATGCAGCCCTTCCTTTGATCAGCTTCAAGTCTGTTTGTCTAAAAGCTCTCAGAGGGGCAGAAAGGAGGACAGAAAATGTAAAGGCCCATTCCATGTGTGTGCAGTTGAGAAATATTAGTTGGGAGAATAAAAGAAGGGACAAATAAACTAATGAATAAATATGGGGCCCGGGTTGTTGCTCAGCCATAGAGCGCTTGCCTAGCCTATTTGAAGCCCTGGGTTCAAGCCCCAAAACTGAATAAAAAAAGAAAAGTATAATAAATAATGCATATCTAGGTGAAACCTTGGACATTTTGGTCTCCTGGTGTGCAGCCTCTTGGAGTCCCCACATCTCACCCTTCTGTTCCTTTCTAGATGTCCCAGCCTTCTCAGTCCCCACTATGTGGCCATCCCCGCTGGACCAGCAGCTGGCCTCCATCAGGGGCTGGGGTGGGGTAGAGAAAGGAGGCTCTCTCTCCACCTCTGGGCAGCATGGATTTGTTCTCCAGGGTTGGAAGGATGTGGGAGAGCACCTCCCAGTGAACAATCGATGTGGAGTTCCCTCAGAATCAGACTAATCGTCTCTCACCTCCAGACTCACAGGCTGCACGGTGGCCTTTCTACCTCAGTCTCTCCATTAATCAGCCAGAATTATCCAGCCAGCTCTTCTGTGTGTATGGATTGCGTGATTTAAAAGACCATAACATCTTTGAAAAATCAAAACTGCTCCATAAGGTCATTAGCTCCTAAAGTGAATTGAAGCAGAAGTTGATGTGTTTTCCAAGAAAGTCATTTCCAGAACCAAAATTTAGAGCATATTTCTAAGTCCAGATAAAGTTCGGGTTCATTTATTCCACCACTCCCTCAAGATGTGGCACGGTGGCTCGTCTTAGGCTGAGCTGGGAGACCCACCTGCATTTGTCCAGCTTAGCTCGCAGTACCACAGCCTCAGGATTCATCCAGGTCCCAAATGCTGTGCCCCTCACACCCCAGCCCAGGAGACATGGCCCTGCATCACCGTCCCCGTGTGCTACACATGCAACATGCCCTGGCCTCTCTGGTGTCCCCACCACCCAGGGCGGAGCTCCAACCACTTGAATGCATAAATAATGGGAATAAATTGCACTGCCTAGGTTCACAGCCCAGGGGAATCATTTTGCTGGGAGACTCAGCTGGGGCTCATTTTCACATCCCTCCTGAATGGCTCACAGCTTCGCAGATGTCTCTGGTAAGTAATTTGGGCAGTAATCATTCCGGATGTGCTGCCCTTTGTTTGCGTTTCCCTTTGCTTTCTCTCAGTGTGGTGCCAGCTCCAAACAGGTGCCAATTTCCCTCCTCAGCATAATCTGCCATGAAAGGCAAATCCATAGCCATTTCAGTCCTAGGCAAAGGGAGGCTGAGGGTTTCATGCCCTTACCTCCCCAGTCTCAGCCCCAAAGCTGCCAAGAACCCTGAGGATGGCAGGCGGGGTGGGCGTCAAGAAGAAAGTGGCAAAGCCAGTAGTGCCCCCACTCTGGGAGGCTGAGGAAGGAATATCACAAGTTGCAACTTAGCAAGATCCTGTCTCAAGATGAAAAGGGGCTGGAGATGTAGCTCAGTGTGAAGGTCCTGGGTTCATCCCCAAGACTGCAAGCAAGCAAGCAAGCACGCAATCAGTATGTAGGGGGCAATGCAGAAAGTGGAGCACTCATGGAGAGCACTCAGGAGGAGCACTTCAGGGCCCCTCTGGCTTGGTTTCTGTCTGGGCAGACAAGAAGGAGCTGGGCAGGGAAGGCTATTTGGCTCCTGATTGCCCCCACTGCCTCACAGAGAGTAGCAGGGGACAGAGCAGACTGCATCCCTTCCCAAGAGCTGTAGGACTCTCCAGGAAAGTATTTTATGTGCAAAACCAGAGAGAGCTACACTAAGAAAGAATTGTAAACAGTGACAGAGTCATAGGAGGCCAGGAAGGGGGAAGGAAGCCAGCAGTTATGGCAGTGCCAGGTGTCAGGCACTAGGGACTGGATTTATGTGTGTAACTCAGGTGATCGATTCAGGACAACTGCCCTCAGTATCCAACCCACCACAGAGGGAAAAGGAGATAGGCCTGTGACAGTTGCATCTATACTGAACATGCAGACACTTTTCTGTGTTATTACTCCCTAAACAAGGCAGTCTAACAAACATGTACCAAGCACTTGCATTGAGTTAGGTAGTATAAGTCATCTAGAGATGCTGTAAGGTGTAGGACAGGATCACACAGGTCATGTGAAACACCACAGTGCATCGTTTTACATAAGGGACTTGAGCACCCATGGATTTCAGTATCCAAGGGGCATCCTTGAACTGATGGCCTGGACACTGAGGAGGGTGGACTTATGGTGGCAGCTCGATGTATTCCCGGATGATCACCAGAGCACCACCTGCCACGTAATCAGGGCCAGTATGAAACTATGCAACACCCAGGGGGACGATGTGGCAAACAATGGGAGCAGGACGTGCCAGGACAGACATTGCAAATGCCACACACCCAAGCAGGGACAGTGTCGTCAGATGGATCATGTGCAGCTCCAACTACCTGAGGCCACCAGTTGTCAGAGGGGCTGTACCAAAGCCTGTGCCTGGGCCAGGTACATGGCCAGCAGGGCCCAGTGCAGCTAAAAAGTGCAGGCGCCTTTGTTCACCATGCAAGGAGAAGTTCCCCTAATGGTGCTACACTGAGGAGTTTTGCCTTTCTTCTGCAATCTCTTGCCTATTTATAATGCTGTGTTGTTTTGTTTTGATGTTTAATGTCATTTTTTGAAGTTAAAATTTTAAGTAATTGATACAAATAGTACATTTATCTTTGTTATACAGGGCCGGTTCTAAGTGCAAACTGTAAGGGGACTGAAGTCCCATGTGAAAACCCGTGAGGGTACCTGGCAGACGCACAGAGGCAGCAAAGAAAAGGGTACTCTAGGGAAGCTTGCTGGTGGAAAGAGAGTGACGCTTTGTGCAGTGATAAATTCAGGTTCCCCACGACAATTGAGAGGAGACAGCCTACGAGCAATCCAAGGTCCATCAGGCAAAGCTGCTTTCAGGAGGCAGCAAAGGCATCAGGAGGGAAAAGCTCACATAAATATGGATCAGCAAGCTGGACAGCACTGGAACTGGGGGACCAAACTAACCAGGGCCCCCAGGAAACTGGGCACTTGGGACAAAAGTTTTGCCAATGCAAAACTCAAGCCAGAGACCAGAGGCATGCAGGGTGGGTCCTGGAGGCTGAACAGGAAGCCCAGAAAAATGCGGGCATCAGCTAGACAGGGAGCTGGGACTAAGAAATAAGGAAAAATAATTTTTGTGCATTGGGGGAATCTTTGTTGTCAATCCAAAGCTCCGCTGAGCACCAGGCCAAAGTATGAAATCCCAACCAACAGGGCACGTCCTAGGAGAGAAGATCCATGCAGCATCAGACTTGTCCCTCAACACTAAATTTCCAAAAGCAAAGGAAAGCCCTCCATACGGTTTGTTTGCTTGCTTGCTTGCTTGCTTGCTTGCTTGCTTTGTTTGCTTTGTTTGCTTTGTTTTCTATACTTGGGATTGAACCCAGTGCCTTTGCACTGAGTTACAACCCCAGCCCTTTTACTATTTATTTTGACACAAGGTCTTGATAAGTCACTAAGTTGCCCGGGCTGAGCTGGAACCTGTGATCTTCCTGCCTCAGCCCTCAGAGTGCTGTGATTTCGAGGAGGAGGGGTGTGTGTTAAATATGGTCTGACAGCCAGGCATGATGGCGCACGCCTATAATTTCAGCACTCGGGAGGAATGCTGGAATTCAAGCCAGCCTGGGGTATATAGTGAGTTCAAGGCCAGCCTTAGCTGCATAGCCAAACTCTATCTCAAAAAACAAACAAACAAACAACAAAAACAAATGATCTGCCGAGCTATTATCCTTACATGAGACTGCAAAACCTTATTCCTAGTCATTCAAAGATTCAGAAGACATACCAGATATAGGCCATCCCTGGAAAAAATTTATTTTAAAAAGCATTCCAGTTTCTCTAAGCATGGTATTATAAGAGGCAGCCAAAAGAATTACTAAATTGAATTGCATATAATTTTCAAATATATGCAATGTAAAAAAATTCATAAAGTTAAGACAAATGAAAAGCTAGAATATTTATAGAATATAAGTCAAAATTTAAATCTCCTAAGTAATGAATTTGTATGGATAATAAGAAAAATGTCTTTAAATTTTTAATGATCAAGAACATGACTAATAATTATAAGAATTGTATTTTCAGCCATAAGAAACAAAATAACAGTGTAATTCATTTATCATTGGTCAAATAGACAAAGGTTAAAAAGAGATTACAGGCCTACTTTTAGCAATAATTTGGTGCAACAGGCATGTTATTTCCCCACCAATGAGGGGTTAAGTTGCTGGAACTTCGCTGAAAGGCAATTTGGCAGTTTAATGAAACTGTTAATGAAAGAGACATTAACAGTTTAATGAAAGAGACATTAAATTGTTTATGATTTCAATCAGTAAGAGTACATTTGGAAATTTCCTCTTAAAAACGGTCCATCATTTGCTCAATAATATTCATCAGAGAATTGCCTATCAGAGCAAAGAAAAGAAATTTTGAAAGTCCAAAAATAGAAGTTCTAAAAATATATTACATCTGTACAATGGACTTAGTACACATATTCATTGACGACATTCAAGGGCAAGAAAATATGCTAATTATGATTCAGTAAGGAACAAATGCAGGTTAAAAATAATGTGTAGGAACCAATTTTGTGAATGTTTAAGTGTGCCTGTGTGGGATCAAAACATAATTGGAAGATTGTAGATCAGTATGTCAATACTGGCTATCTTTAGAAGGTGGGATCGTGGATAATTTTTTTCTAATCTTTCTGCAGTGCTTTTCCATTACATGTAAACCAAATATTATAATTCAAGATTTTGGGGGAATTTGGAGACAAAGGATGTAGTTCAGAGGTGGTGCACTTGTGCAAGACCCGGGGTTCCAAGCTAGTACCACACACACACACACACACACACACACAGAAAGAATTTGGAGATATGTTCAGTGTGCTTTATTTTGTTTTGTTTTAAGCAAATTAAGGAAACTGGCTAAAGAAAAGTAACACACTGTTTTATTTAACCTTCGTATAAGCCCTCTGAGGTGGGTGTTATTAGAACACAGCCTCACTTTACAAACAGATAAGGAGTTGAGGAGACTCCCCAGGATCATACAAGGGATAAGTGGCCGGTCACCTGAACAAGCCATGGCAAATGATGGCAGTACCCACCTCAAGCAAGGTCGTGTGCTTTGGTGAGCCCACAACTGTGAAATGTTTTGGACTCCTACGGTGGATCAACAAGGACCCACTCACACGGTGTGTGTTGGGACCTAGTGAGGCTGCTCATCTCCCCACGGCTGTCCTTCCTATTGCTGCCCAAGGCCTCTGTAGGTTGAGGAAAGAGTGCCTTTCTCACAGCCCAGGGCCCACTCTAGGGTTCTATTGGAATGGACAGTCTCTCACCCAGCTTCTCCTCAGGGCAGTGGGCTCACCCCACAGTATGCTAAATTTCTAGGGAAGAGAAAGAGTAAAAGCCATCATAACACAGTGATCCATGCATACCCATGCTTATAGCAGCACAGCTCATAATAGTTAAATCCTGGAAGTGGCCTCTATGTCCAGGAACAGATGAATGGATAAAGAAAATGTGACATTTATACACAGTGGGGTATTATTCTGCCATAAAGAAGGATTAACTTAAGTCATTTGTAGGAAAACAGACGCACCTTGAGATCACAACATCAGGTGAAATAAGTCAGATACACAAGGACAAATATCACATCGTTTCTCTTATGTGAGAAACCCAATACATAAATAAAGAGTAAAATAGAAGATATAGAATGGGAAACAAGAAGATACTTCTTTTTTGCAAGTGGGAAGGGGACGAAGAGATGGAGTGAGGGGAAGAGAGGCTAGGAGACGGGGACACAAAAAGAATTAAGACATATATGTACACGTACCAATTCCCCATGATGAATGTAATCCTATGTACCACAAACACACACTTACAAACATAGAAAGAGAAACTCACTTTGCGAGCGCAGCAGCAGCCTACCCTAAAGGCCTAACAATTAGAATTTGCGTTGTAGAACTTTTCATCTGTGCTTGCAACAAAGCCTGGTTAAAATGCTGCAGGTTAGCACGCATGGCTTTGGGTTATTCTCCCTCCCACTTTTCGGG